ATAATCATCTGACACGTTTTCTCAGCGATTCTGCCATTGTTGTCTTGATCAGCCAGGTTTACATGCTACACATTTCCCCTTCCTGTACCAAACTGGACTCATTTCACAGAGACCAGTGAGCAGAATGGACTGGGGAAGATCTCCAACTCCTGGCATTAACATAGCCAGGGCCTGCCCTATACTTTTAACCCAAAGGAAATGTGGTTGCAGGCAGGTAATGACATAACATATTGCTGTTGTAATGTAAAAAGTATCATACAACTTTCTCAAACCAACTTCTAAATGTAGTTAATACAACGTAAATATTTGGATGTAATGCTGGCAAACCTTTCAAAGAATAGCTTGTGAAGATACTGTTGTTCGTGCTTGAATTGTAATTCTACAGAATCCACAGAGTGCTAGCCTATATAACAAGAGAAAGTAAACATTATTTAGCCTATACAATGTGTACAATTAGTTTATCTCTGGGCTAATTGTTCTGTATTTGTTTGCAAAAATGGCACCAAACATTGTCAGTTCTTCTGTCATATTGGTAGGGTCTGCTCCAATAGACTGATGCCTTGATATCACCGGAAGCTTTTTAAATGCCCAACAGGGGACCTCCTGGACATTCAGTTACACTAAGCTCTTATCATCAACCCATGATGTCTGGTGTCCCTGGACCACCCCACTCCATGCACTCTCACACACATTGTTGTTGGAGCCGGAGCCGTCTAGGTACTGGGTCAGCCTTGAGGTGTGGGCTCTGACCTCTCCTCTTCCTCACTGACCTCCCGACCTCCTGACAGTGGCTTGCTGCTGCTGATGCCCCACCCATCCCCCCTCCCCCTCCCTGCCATGCACTCCCAAACTCAAGCAACAGGGTGTCTGGAGGCAGAGCAGCTGAGGATCTGAATAGATCTGGGCTCCAAGTGTGATTTCAGGGGCTGTACTGTGCAACAGCAGGAGGCACAGAGACTGCAGTGACTAAATATATGTTCACAGGCAGAGACAGCGTCTTTTATCTGCTCATTTGATTATTTATAAGACAGCTCCGTCCATGCCAGACTCCTTGGTGCTGGGGTCATCAGTCTCAGTTGATCTATCTAGGAGGTAAAGCCAGCCCAGACTCCAATGTATTCCTCAGATCATCATTCTATTTGTTTGAAGGACTGCATTCTTTATTCAACTAAAAAGCTCTGCGATATTGGGGATATTTGAGCTGCTCTGGGGCTGACTTGCAGTGAGAGCAGCTCTGTGTGGTGCTGTAGCCCATATTTATAGACTGCATGGGTTTTTGTAATTATCCCATTGCTATTGCTGTGTCTGTGAATCAGCTCTCTCCAGCCCAGCGGCCATAAGCCTCTGAAAACAGGAATGCTAAATACATAGGACCAGAATGTGCATATGCCATTATAGGGTGAACCTCAGATTTGGCTGCATTTCCGTTGTAGTCCACATTTGTGCTCCCTGCTCCAGACTCAACTTATTTGCATGACAATAAGAAGAAGGCTTTGTTGATATGCTATGCAGTCTTAAAGGAATACTTCACCCACTAAAAGGACCATTTGTATATCAATAAATCACCCCATGTTTTCCAGAATTGTTGTTTTTTCACTGGAACCCTATTATTTAATACACTTCTACCCAAAGAAGTCTTAAGTTTGAGCAAAGATGCATGATTTCGGGCTGTAGTGAGCATACAGTGCGATCGATAAATTAGACTTCTTCACAATTTCATAAACTTGTTCGTGATTTTGGAGTGAAGTATTCCTTAAAAGCGAAAGACTCAATCAGAAACACACAGGAATCATAATTAAACAGTTGATATGTTGTACAATCACCACAACTCTGTGTTGATCTGTTCGACACATCAACAGTCTAATCAACTCATCAAACGTGCTCTTGTCTGGCCTATAACACCACACACAGAGCTGTGCATTTTTCTGAAGTGACACTAACTCTGCCTAGTTTCAACATAATAATCCTGTGTTTTCTTTGGAAACACTGTGTCTTTTTTCTTCTTTTTGTCCTGACACTTTACAGTAAAATAGGATACGCATGTGTTTCAGCTGCGGGGTGAAGACAGGAAGGCCCACATGATGTAATAATCCAAATAAAGGGCAGTGCAGAGGGTGGAGAGGGCTCTTCCTCTCTATGATGTCATGCCACTGCAGCAGTTTGCCGGTGATAAGGAAAGGAGTGCAACTTCACATCCACAAATGTGGTTTGACAACTCTTATCATTGTCCTACTGCTTATATGAGGATGTGTGAGAATAACACAAACATAGAAGTGATAAGCTGTCTCTTCTGTTACACTAAATATGTGTGATGAGACATTTTCTGGTAATAATTGATAGCATGACAGCATTTGGATTGCTCCTATTTTGTGTGTATCAGCATGTTGTTTTGCGTGACTACATCTGAAACATGACTGTTTTTACGGCCAAAATGCTCCCAATCCTTGAGTAAACACCGAGCATATCCGCTCTCCCCCTGGCTCCTGGCTGCTGGCTCCCTCATTGATCGGTCTGGACAATTTATTAGCCATTGTGACAGTTTCCTGTACAGCCAGGGTCGACAGGGGAAACGAAGAGGTATGCAGATAAAGTGCTCAGAAACATGGTAAACAATACCTATTGTGTTTTGATTGCAGGTTGAACTGTTACCTCCAGAATGTTTGCCACATACCTTCCAGTGTGCGTGTGTGATTGCTTGTTATTCCACATACATGTCCTGCTGCCCCGATCTATTCCCTCAGCATACTGAGTAATCGCATAAGTTCTGGAAAATCACAAGGCTCAAAAACAAAAGGAAATGCCAGAGAATTCCACAATAAAGCAATGAAACCTTTAACAATGGCTCGGCGGCCTTGCACTGCAGCTTTCTTCCATCTGTGAATGTCAATTTCAGTCAACAGTTTCAACACTTTCATGGGAAATGTTTGATACTTGGCCAGAAATGTCCTACATCAGCAAATACGCAACTCTACCTCAGCTAAGTTGAGACTAACACGCTGATAATGTAGCCTAAATATTGCATGACCTTTTAGCTGAAAGAGACAAGGGCAATGATCTCTGACCTTCTCAGCATGGTTAACTCCCAAAACAATGGGGACATGCATTGACTTGCAGCTGTGAGGATTTGCCAGGGGACATTATCTGCAGCAGCAACATGAACAGTTTAGGAAATTAAGTGACAAGCAGCTGTCATACTGGGGTATGTAAATATGTCATGTTTGTCTGTTCTGTGTTAGTCTTTGACGAGAGCAGCCGAGCTTAAGATGATGAATGTTAACACCTATCGTGTTCCATGAACTCAGCAGAGGTCATCGACTCACAGTTTGGGTTTCAAGAAAAATGTAAAGTAAGTGTTATATGGAGTACAAGTGTCAGGGGTAGGCACTAATATAGTTGGTTTAACATCGTCACACATCATGGACAAAGTCTTTATCTTAAAAAAGGTGAAATAAACATAGTTAAGGCTGTGAAATGTAACTCCTCACTAAATGAGATGGTGTAAAAGATATCAGTTTGCTGTTTGCGGATGTATAAATACATGTATGCGTCCATATCGATTTTAAGGTTTTCCACTTGTGCTGTATTTAGTTTGTAAAATTAAGTTGTTTATGGGTATGTTTATGATTAGATAGTGGTTAAAAACTAGTGAATTTACGTATTTTCCTACTTTTCTCCTTTTAAATACTTTGCATTTGAGCAGGCTTTATCATGTAGGTGAAGGTACAGTATATGTGTATGAGGCTTAAGATTCCAAGCTAAAACATTAACAACATACGAAATGGACATTTTATCTTTTGGATAATGTAAATTAATAATAATCTTTATAGATTATGTTTATATGTTTAATATATAAATGTTCTACAAAATCAAAACAACATATTTCCCAGGCTGTGTTTTAAAAGCATTTTTGTTTTCCAACAGGAATGCTAATTATTTAATAAATTAGTAACTATTGTTATTACAAGGAAGATCATTACACTTGATAGTGCACAGAGGGATATAAAGACCATTACAGTACATGTACATATAATGCACATGCTGCCTGGGCTGCTGCAAACATGCAGGCTTTTAGTGAACATCTGGCAAATCCATAATGGCTCACCAATGGAGACAAACTCGGATCTTCGTGGTAGCATGTGTTACAGCAGTGCAACAGTGTCATCTGGTGGACTCAAATAAACTGATGGGACAAAAAAAAGTATGTGTTTTAAATAAATAAAAACTCCTTACATTTTCCTCACAGTCTTGCCACTCTTAGAGTGTAGCAAGAGTGGAATTATGAAATGTTTTTCAATTTAGAATAAGTATACAGAATGGAAATCCTCCATCCTTAACTCCATTATGTGCTTATGTTGTCGTCCCGCCTGATTCCCGTCTGGTCCTCATTAGGAGACAGCAGCTGCATGCTGCCTGGGACTTTCGAAGATGGACACGTTAATCTGATGATCCCCAGTATGGATACATGGACAAATACAGCTTATTCTACCTAGGGTGTATGGAGTCGTTTGAGCTGGAACTGGAGCCCAAACTTAAGAGAAGATGGTTGTCAGCAAAATTCAGTAGAATCATGAAGAAAATAAATGCAAATGGATAATGATGTTACAAAAAACCGAACACATCCATTTTCAATGTCTGGCATCAGCATAACAATGCTCTTGGGGTTATAATTTGCAGAAAGCTTAAGGTTTATTTCACACTGTAATTATATACTGTCTAATGTAGTGGGAAAATATTCCTTTACTTTTCTGATGATGGAGTGTACGTAATTTATTGTTTCTTTTGGAAACTTCATCATAAAAACATAAAAGGAGTTTCCCTTATATGACTTTTTTTATTGTAAAGGGATTTAAACAATTCTTATCAATTATAAAGTCAAATTTAAAAAAATGTATTTTAAATCGAGGCTTTAAATATTTAGAAATCAAGTTAGCTAACCATCTAGCTAGGTGTCCAGCACAATAGATGGATGGATGGATAGTGGAAGAAGGAGACTGCTCATGAAAATATGAAACATTTATTGAAAAGTGAAAAACAACAATGACATGAGTGTCTTATGGTGTAAATTAACATGTTTACATTTCTTCTGTAATCTCTGTGGCTCTAACGTGACAAAAAAGAGAACTCTTCAAGTCAACGCCAACATTCTGTGTTGTTTACACCTCTAGTTTTTAACTTAAGCTTAAATACTTTGCGATAAATTATCTTCATGGTTAGTTTTGTCCCCGTTGCTCAGTTCTATTGGGGGCTCAGATGAAGGATCCTGCGGTTCTCTTGGACCTGCTGGAAACATACAAACACAGACGACAACAAGTCTGTAAGTTACATTAACAAGTTGCATAACTGCGGAGGATTTGTTCTAAAGTGCCTGAGGAACACTTTTTCTTAATAATTAATATAAAACTAATGCACATGAATGTTTTTAAGCAATTCTCCAAAGCGGGAAAGAATAGAAGAGTGTGTAGAGATTGTTTTTGTTTTAGCCATGATTGTGTTGTGTCACCATTTATGGAGAGTAAAAGGACAGTAATACTTATTCATTACCTTCAACCAATTGTGCAGCTGCCTTTCTGTCTCCAATAATATAGAGAGAAGACAGAAAGAAAAACAGTCCTCCCAGGATCCCAACCACTGGGCAGACCAGGAGGCTGTACTTCAGACTGTGGAAGCTCCATTCAGGAGACACAGGTTTAGATTTGCTTAAAGCATCAGAGATCTATAGAACAAGGAGGAAGACAGCTCAATGATGAACAGAAAAAGTGGTTTACTCAATTTCACAGAGGTACAATTAAGTTAAAAAGGACGTTTTCTGTGGCGAATTGAACTATTTCTCACCGCTCCTACTAGGAAAGGACTCCCAGCATCCCCCAGGAGATGACCGACAGAAATCTGGAGAGCCTCAGCTGTAGACCTTCTGGTTGGTATGACAACATACTGAAGTAAAAAGTGAAACACAAGACAACCTGTTTGCTTAAAGTTTTAATAGACTGTTTCATATTTTTATTTATCAAACGTTATCTCTTTCACTCACCAGCAGTATATCTGCCATGACGGCCCAGTTCAGTGATATCAATATTTCACCAAAGAAAATGAAAACCTGAAATGAGACATTAAATCAGAGAGTAAGCAACTAATACAATAATATTTATGTAATTCATCATCACCCATCACAATCCCCTGTTTCCACTCCGACTGCTATTTATTTAATGTTTACTTTATTATTTCCCCCTTTTGTTTCTTTGTTTCTTTGTTTCTTTGTTCACACCATGTAAAGCGGCCTTGGGTCCCATGAAAGGCGCTATACAATTGTAATCTAATATTATTCTTATTATTATTATAATTTAGATTTTCCCCTTAAAATAGCTCATGTTTTAACAGATATTCTTCACAAGCTTATATGATATTTTGTAAAAGATGTAATGCCTATCAGATTGTAACTACATTTAAATGCTATCCTATTTCTTAAGGAGCATGTTGTCTGCATCACTTGTAGCTAAGAATGTTTTTCTTTTCTGAGGAACAAAAAAAACAACTAACTTTGTGGTGAAGCTGTTTAGATCTAGGATTCATATTGACACTATTACCGGCCCTACTAATCCATCCATTTATCTATTTATTCTACTTATCCAGAGCTGGTGGCAGGGGCAGCAGATATGACACATTTTCTAAAGGTCCCACTCCATAACAACATTTTTCAGGTCTCCTAATCTAAACTATACTTTGGCTAGTGGACACCAGCACATACAGGCATTCTCTTACGTAGGTGGCGGGAATGCTTGTTGATGCCACAAAGATGGTGATGAAGAGGCAGGGGGCTGCTCCCAGCAACCCTGATGAACAGATGAGTGGGTCTGACTTTGGGAACTTTTCCCTTAACCATCTAGATAAACCACTGCCAAGAATCCCTCCGAGAATTCCCGTCAACACAGTCACAGCACCGAAGATATAACTGTACAGAGAGCAGAGGCGCAAGGCGTTGTTAAAACTCTGTATTCATTTGGAAGGGAAGGGGGTAAATGAAGAGTGATGCTGCACCTGTCTGTGGAGTCGCAGGGCTCTTCAACACACGCCGGTCGGAGTCCTTGACTGACCTGAGCTCTAGACAGAAAAGTAGGCATCCAGAAAGCCAGTGCTCCGGAAAGGAAGGCCGTAGCAGTCACTCCCAATGTTGACCACAAGTACGTTTTGCTAGTGTCAGAGAAGAAATACAAGGAGAATACAATCAAACTTGCATCTCTGCATACAGTAGGTGGGTAAGGCTCAGAATAGGGAATGCTAATATTTTATTATAATTTTCTATCATACTTGTTTTAAACACCAATGAAGACATCATTATTTTGTCCGACAACTTGTTGTGTCTAATTGGTTTGAATCCTACTTAAAGGACAGAAACAACGTTGTTTCTATAGGTAAATACATATCTGAGTTGACAAATATGACACGTGGGGTACCTCAAGGCTCCATCTTGGGGCCCCTTCTCTTTAACATCTACATGCTATCATTGGCTCAGATAATGAAAAACAACAAAATAAGTTACCATAGCTATGCGGATGACACACAAATGTACATAACAATTTCACCAGGAGACTATTCTCAAATCAAAACACTGAGTAAGTGCATTGAACCAATCAATGACTGGATGTGTCAGAACTTTCTCCAATTAGACAAAGATAAAACTGAGGTAATGGTTTTTGGAGCCAAGGCAGAAAAGTTAGCGCTGAGCTTCAGCCTGCAATGTTCAAAACAACAGATAAAGCCATAAATCTAGGTGTAGTCATGGACTCTGACCTGAGTTTAAACAGTCACATTAAAACAGTTACTAAATCACCTTTTTTCTTATTTTTTATTTAACCAGATAAAAGCATTGAGATAAAATCTCATTTTCAATGCTGACCTGGCCAAGAAGGCAGTAACGTTACACATAACACATAACACAAACATATAACATACAGAGAACATAACTAAGAAAACAAAAGACGAAAAAGCAGTCACTACATTGTACACATTAGGACAGTAAGAAAGGTGCACTACTTATTACTGCAAGAGCAGCTGGTTATAAGGACTTCAGACAACTTCAATTTAAAACATGCTATTGAGACAAGTGCCCTCAGTTTTAGGTTTGATTGAAGGTCATTCCAAGACCAAGGACCATAATAAAAAAGACTCATTTTTCCAGCCTCAGTCCGCACAGCAGGTACCTGGAACCGTATCCAGGCACTGGATCTGAGGTTGTACGAGTCACAAACTGGGGCAAATCTGGCGCATTTGTAGAGTGGAAGCTTACCTAAAATGGCTTTATACATTAATAAAAACTAATGCTGCATCCTACGCATAGTAAGTGAGGACCATCCAGTTAGGCTATACAGTTTGCAATGATGAGTCCTATAGGGTGCATTTGATATATAACGCAGCGCAGCATGGTAGAGTGGGTCAAGTTTTGCCAAAACAGTGGGACAGGAAAATCTATAAATGGTATCACCGTAGTCTTAAGAATATATCTAGGATTAAAAGGCTAATGTACAGATAGAGTGACAGTGATAGATTTCAAAAATACTGCTGCTGGTTTACAAAGCTTTGAATGGTTTAGGCCCGATATACATGTCTGACCTACTGCTAAATTATGAACCATCCAGAACTCTCAGGTGTTCAGGGACTGGTCTGCTTTCTGTCCCCAGAGTCAGAACTAAACATGGAGAAGCAGCGTTCAGTTATTATGCTCCAAATATCTGGAACAAACTACCAGAAATCTGACGGTCCACTGCAACTCTCACTAGTTTTAAATCCAGGCTGAAGACTTTTCTTTTTGCCGTTGCTTTTAATTGAACTATTCACATCTTAAACTTTTATCCTTGTATTTTTTCTTTTAATGTTTATTTTATTATCTTTGCTTTTTAATAACTGCTTTTAAATGCCATTTTCTTAATGTCTTTCATTTTTGTAAAGCACTTTGAATTGTCTTCTGTTGAAAGGTGCTATATAAATAAACTTGCCTTGAGTTGCCTGTCTGAACCTGTGCTGTTTGTTTTGACATTAGGTCACACCACAATTACTGTTCAAGCGGTTACTATGAGCCTTTGTTAATGCAACAATAAATCAAAACAGTGCTCTGCTCTTATGAGTTAACTGATAAATAAATTTACTTCTAGCCCTATCATCAGGCTGAGTTGAACATAATATATCAAAGCAGTAGCCTGGATATGAGATGTTTTAGGGTATCAGTTTGCCCAATAGTATAGCAGGCAATTATTTAGGGAGCCGCCCCTGTATCTCTGGTCAACTTTAGGGACTTACTTAAATTATCAAACTGTAATACAGCACGATCAATACATTTAAGTGTTGCATTTCATCTTCTTTGTTTATATTCCCAATAAAATCTATAGAGGCTTCAAAAATATATGTCCTACTTTTTCAAAAGATACTTGACGTCCTCCAGGTACGAACTCTGCTCTGAGACTCCTTCGCCATGGGTTTCTGCAGCACCTCTGGGTGGATTAGGGCATAAGAAGACCAGCAAGAAAAGTCCAACTACACCCAAGATAGGAGTGATCTGATAACACAAAAGGTTGTAATATGATTCACTCTATATTTATCAGTGCTCAGCCAACATTAATTAAAATGTTCTTACCCTGAGAGCCCAGCGCCAGTCTCCTGTGAGAGAAGCAACACCTGCCCCTGTTATGTATCCAAGACCACTGAAAACACACAGAAGACCATTTTAGTGATCATGACGACATAAACAAGCTTGTCAACAGTTGTTTTAGGAATGTATGTCCAATATATCTTCTTATTATAAAATTAAATCCTTTTTTTTTAAAATGGCAATGGTGTGAACTTTTTTCTTTATGACTAGTTGTCTAAGCCAGGCATGGTTAAAAAGCAAGTATTACTGCAGGCTAAGACAGACTGTTATTTGTATATAATCAGCAAGATTATTTTGTCCAAACTTCCAACCTGTTTAACCTATCTGCATGGGTTACTGTGGTATTGAGGTAGTCGCCAAAAACTACGTAGCTACAATACGCTGGGAAAGCTAAGCTAAGCTTTCCAAATGCGTAAGCATTTACCCTCAAAACAATTGATCAATTACCGGTGTAGAACCTTATGGGCAGACGGGGGTACAGTGCAATATTAGTGGAAATCAGCAAAAAGTAAAAGCTAATTCTGTCCACAGTGTTGTTCTCTACAGCACTTTGCTTGTAGTAGCATGGATTCTGCAAAACATGGATTCTGAACAACACACCAGTATTTTTACCTTGCATAGCAGCTTGACATGATAAGACCTACGAGAAGCTAACATGCATAGTTTATGTGAGTGTGACGACAGTACACAGGAAGACGACAACGGTGACTCCTTAAAAGGTTAAGGTCAAGAACATTTTCTTTCATTAAGCATGACATTGTGGAATTCTTTGAATATAAAGCGGTTCTTCATTATTTGACTTGAACATAGGTTAGGCATATTATGTGAAATGCTACTTAAGTACAATTAAAAACCAACATTCCGGGGGCCACTACAGAAAATTGCAGATAGACATTGATCATTATCCCGGAATTCAAGTAGACACAAGTGACACATAAAAAAACATTAACAATACAAAGTGCAGCCATATACAGGACTTTAACATCGCTTGCTAAAACATGGACAAAAAGCAGAATATATAAACACAATTGTGGACTGAGGTTGGGTCTTTTTCAAACCTTCCAACAGGGATAAAGATGTAGAAGATACAGATGATCATGCTCCGTTTAGTCCCAACAAAGAGATCAGCAATGATGGTGGGTGCAATGGTGGAGTAACTGGCCTCTCCTATCCCCACCATCCCACGCAACAGCATCAGAAGCCAGAAGTGCTAAAGACCCAAAATGACAAAGAAGCAATTTTACAAGATTAGTACCAAACAGCACAAATATGTTCCAACAGTTTAACATACACCTTGCTTGAAGCTGGAAACCGTACAATCAATAATATTTATTCCTCAAAGTTTAAGAATAAATTATTCTTTGTAGTTAATGGGATAGTTTGGATGTTTTGAAGTGGCGTTGAATGAAAGCAGTCAAGGAGGGACCTAACTATAAAATCATAGAAGCAATGGTAGGAGATATTGTGATTTTAGAAGATCGAGCCCAAAGAGAGCGTACAGTATAGGCAAAGTAGTATGGGCCGTAAATGTTGCCTTGAGGTACTCCACAGGTGGTGGGAGCAGACCAGGGGGGTATACCACGACGCAGGATTTTCGCTTAGCTTAAAGTGATCAAGTCACATTACAGGAGAAAGGAAATACAGTTTAAACTGCCGTTGCAGGAAAGACGGCCGGCAAAAATCACAGACTGTGTGAACGTGAAATTGAATTGAATATCACCTCCCATCTTCAGCGCAATCTGATTATTATAACATTAGCGTTAAGAAAGCTTAATTAAATATCTGCCACAACATAAATAACCGGATCAAAGTAACAGTACAGTCCGCGGCATATCACATCATAATGTATCATATATTTCCTTATCTGAGTCAGCTGAGCAGTATCTGGCCGTGCAACACTTACAGTGTCACATACTGTATGCAGAAGTATTATTTTAAGCAACACATTACGAAACACTCAAGTCAAATGTAATTAAAGTCAGATCGTGTCTTAGACGGGGCATATCATAAACCTGTTAATGTACGCATTCAAACACTTTTTCTTGTACCAGCTGTATTCACAAAGTGTTTGAGTCATGGATGTTTAAAGTCTTCATATTTGTCTAATTATATAGTTGACTTTTCATTCAGGAAGTATGACGCGCTGCGCTGTCAGTACGCTTCTCCATGTTTGTGATTGGTNGGGCAGTGATATCATAAACCTGTTAATGTACGCATTGAAACACTTTTTCTTTTACCAGCTGTATTCACCTTGCAGGTGCAACTATGTGGCTTTTATCCTGGATAAAGTGTTTGAGTCATG